CCCCCCCCCCCCCCAGCATATCCTGGTTTTCAAGTACCCCAGCAGGGATAGGGTTAAAAATTCAAAAACATAAAGATTTAAAAATAAAATATATATTTTCTCAGGGTCCATGACCCCGTTAGAGCTGCAATACGAGTTCAAGATTATAACCAGGTAAAATAGTTTAATTAATTAATAGCATTTGATTTATTTTTTATTGTTTTACACGGATATATACATATTTATATCAGATATTGCGTTTTTTATCAAAAATATAGTACGTTTGCTGATACAGCCCGTTTAGTCGCTGACTAAAGTTGGACATTAGATTATACAGAACGTGGTCTCGGCAAACTTGAGATCCATTTGTTTAACACTTAAGTAGTATGTGTACACATTTGAAAAGAATATATAAGAATATGTAGATAAAAAGATAAAAGGCAAAAAACTTTAAACATGTTTAGTCAACCTGTATATTTTCTCTTAGTATTCATATATATATGTTTTATTTTAGAGCGTTCGAAGTCTTGCAGCTTCCACGTTAGGTATTTACGATAATTTTAAAAATTAAAATTGAAAAGTGTTTTTACATTTTTTTAGAATAAATTTATATCTAGAAAATGTTTCATTTATTTAGGTTCAATACTTGGCACATATAAGCTTTCGGCTTTGCTCTCTCACAGGTAAAACAAAATATTTTTCACAATAAGTATAGTTACATTATCATTATTAAGATTGCTTTGATATTAGAAATCACCAAAAAATGGTTCAAAAAGTAAGGTTTCACATTTTTTCAACCATTTGAGATCCATTTTTCTTTAACTGTAACATTAAAATTTAGGTTTAGAATTAAGTGCAGGTATTAAAGTTGAATCTCAATTAAGTATTCAAATAGCGGGGGGAATAATATAAAACTAGTTCTGAGTATTTAAGATAAGAATATATCTTCTGATTAAACGACACACATAAACCTGTAGAATAGAAAGACTACTGTTCTACGCAACTTTTATATTAGTGTAAGTCCAAAAAGCATGAAACAAAGGAGCATCGTACACTTTATCCAGACCCATTTTACTTCTTAAGTTGGATAATTTCCTAATATACGATTTTTGGACCTCCCCCACAAATTTTTTTTTGCAAACATTTTTACTATATAACAGGATTTTGCGATAAAAAATTCAATTTTTGAAAATTTGCAAATTTTTTGCAGTTTCTAAAATTAGAGCAAAGAGCTTTCTAATGATGTATCATTTGTCATATTTGGACATAAAACATGGTATTTAGAGGGGGGGGGTCAACTTGCCCCCTCCCAGCATATCCTGGTTTTTAAGTACCCCAGCAGGGATAGGGTTAAAATGGGGTCAACGTGCAGAAACAAATATCTTAGTATTTCAACTTTTTTTTGAGAAAAATCAAATTATTTTCTTGCAAAAGTAATTTTCTATTAAAATCGAAAATTCAATGTACATCAACTTTTGGATATCTACTCTCCAAAAATTGGCTGATTTTGTTCAAAGTAACAAAACTGGCCGAAAAATTACAAAAACACTGAAAAAATTCCAAAACATTGCTAAAAACGAAAAAATCAAGGGCCACCCTAAAGAGAATAGACCATGAACTGAAATAATACTAATTAAATGAATTGTACTTAATGAAAAAAAGAAGATAATGTTTGTAGAATGTATAAAATTAAAAATTGAAAAATCTGCGATTAAGTTTAAAGTTTATTTCAGAATATTGATAAAAAATAATGCACTGTTTAATGTCTGTTAACTGAATTTCTGTGAATTCTTTGAAAATTAAAATCAATTTATTTATTTGGTTGGATGATAATTTATTCGAGCAATATAAATTTAATAATTAAATATTCCGAACCAAATTAATCTTAATTTATATTCACACTTCCAGCTCTGGCAACTTATTGAACGGCGGGGGAACAAATAGTTCTAGTTATAATGTATATATACAAAATATGTATTTTTTCTTTAATAAATTAAATAACTTATTAAGCAAAGAATTACAAAACAAAAGCCTCGATATTAAATTTCATAAACTCTTCATCGTTAAAACCTGATGCACCAGCGGATTCAACAATAAACCTTTGATTTTCAAACCTCACGGATTTAACAGCTATAATTCAATCCTTATATCCCAGCACGCTGTAACTATCTATCACAATTTGACCTATTAAACAAAAACAAAATTCTCTTTCATACTTTTTTTTTGTCAGCGTATGCATTTTAAATAAAAGATTTAAGAAAGTTAACTACGAAAGTTTAAATGTTGTCAAATAAAAGACCAAAACGCGATTAAATTCCGAAAAGAAAAGAAATCAAACGCCTCTGGTCCTGTTTAGTCCAGGGTCAGACTATTTAATCTGACAGAATTTAACCCTATTCCTGCTGGGGGGGGGGGTCAATTTGACCCCCCC